AGATTCAGACCGTCGAGGGAAAACAGAGGACACAAATAATCATCCAAGCGTTTCTTGAAGAGTTGCAGGGATGTAGCCTCCACGACTGACTGAGGGAGATCGTTCCATTTCTCCACTACCCTCTGCGTGAAGAACTCAGAACGAAGATTCAGCCTGGACATTGTTGTCCGTAACTTCATCGAGTGACCACGAAGATTGGGTGAAAGATGCCACTGAAACATGTCCTCAAATTTAAGTCCATACTCAAGGCCATATATTATCTTGTAGACGAGGATAAGGTCACCTCTTTGCTGCCTGTAACACAGAGGGAATAAATTAAGGCAATTCAGTCTGTCTGTGTATGAATGGCTTTTTAGACCGTTTACCAGCTTTGTCGCACGCCGTTGTACCCGTTCGAGGCATTCTTGGTCCTTTACCAGCCATGGCCGCCATGCTTGTATGCCATATTCTAAGTGGGACCGAACAAATGTGCCGTAAACTCTCCCAGAAAGGTCTTGGTCAAAATTTGCGAAAGCCCTTTTTATTGCATGCAGCACTCCCATGGCATTTTTTGCAGCCTTGTGACACTGCAGTGTTGGTTTCAAGTTGTTCTGTATCCAAACCCCGAGATCCTTCTGTGAAGATTCTGCGGGGAGCCTTATATCTTTCAGGTGATAAGTCCTCAGACTCTCATTTGAATGAGAGTTGGTTGGACGCAGATGAAGGACGGCACACTTCTCCACATTGAAATCTAGAAGCCATTTCTTCGACCACGCTTGCAGTCGGTGCAGATTATCTTGAAGGGATCTCTGATCATTCGGACCCTTAATGACTTGCCAGAGCTTAACGTCGTCTGCAAACATTATTTTGCCGCAGTCGAGTTCCTGAAGGCTGTCGTTAACGTAAAGGATGAAGAGCAATGGTCCCAGAACTGAGCCTTGAGGTACACCACTGGTCACGTTCACCCATTCTGACATATCATCCCCGATACAAACACGTTGTTTCCGACCAACCAGAAACGCCCTAATCCAGTTCAGATGGTCTCCCCGGATGCCGATGGCGCTCAATTTGTGAAGAAGACGTTGGTGTGGGACAGTGTCAAAAGCTTTGCGGAAATCGATGTACACGACATCGACCTCAAAACCCTCTTCTAGGGCCCTGGTCCAGATTTCCAGACAAGCTAGCAGATTTGAGAGGCAGGAACGTCCTCTCCGGAAGCCATGTTGAAAATCCTGCAAGATGTTATTTTCTTCACAAAATTGCTTTATAGCGTTCTTTACTATAGCTTCCATCGTTTTGCAAGGGAGGCAAGTTAAGCTAATAGGTCGAAAGCTGCTTGCTGTCATCTTGCTACCTCCCTTATGCAATGGAACGAGGGTAGCTGTCTACCACTGTGAGTGCAGCCTTCCTGTTCTCATTGACAGCTCAAAGAGAGTCGAAAGAGGCTTTGACAGCTCCCCTGATAGCTCCTTATGTATCAGCCCGGGAATTCCGTCGGGTCCAGGAGACTTATCAGGTTTTATTTGACCGAGGACTCGTCTGACTTCTTCCACGGAAAAGGCGACGGTTTTAATGACGGCAAAATCTTGGCGCATTTGAAGCTCCCGGCTGTCTCGGTCCATTTCAAACTGCTGATTGTCTTCTAGGGACTCCTCCGTAAGAACCGATTGAAAAAACTGAGACAGTAATCGCACTTTCTGTGACCGTTCAACTAATAAGTTTCCGAGGCTATCCTTTAGACACGCAATTTCGTCCCTATGTTTCCTCCTACTGCGGATGTACCCGTAAACTTCTTGGGACATGTAATGGATTCTGCTATCAGTAGACGCTCGAAAGAAGTTCTAGCAACCCGTATTTCTTTGCGGCATTTATTGCGCTGATCCTTATATTCGGCGGGTGACCTTGGATCTCGAAGTTGCAAATACTTTTTCCAGAGTCTCTGTTTCTTTTTCATGGTCTTTTTTGTCGTCGGATTGACCCACGGCGGTCGCATACATGGTCTTGTCATTTTTATTGGACAATGGGAATCAATCAGACGCTCTATAATCCCGCGAAAGTACTGCCAGAATTCGTCTGAATCTTCTGTGTTGACCAACCAGGTTTCCTCCAAAAGAGTGCGTCTCATTGCGCTAAAGTCACCCTTCCAAATATTTATGCGCGTCTTGATTTTTGGTTGTTGGTTGGATAGGAGAGAGCACACTCAGGTAAAAGCAATATGGTCGCTTAAACCGAGTGGAGGTTGTGGATTAACTTCCTTTATGAGTCCTTCTTCTTTACTGAAAACGAGATCTAAACAGTTAGATCGTTGTCCTTCTCTCATTCTTGTACCGAATTTTATGTGTTGAATGAGGTATTCATTCAGGGAGAGTTGTAGTAGCTTGTGGTCAAATGACGTGGCCGGGGCGTTTGCTAGGGGAATGTTCCAGTCTATTCCTGGAGCGTTGAAGTCACCAAGAAGAAGTAAGTTCTCGTGCTTACATATCAACTCCAGCGCACCAAGTAATTCCATATCGGCGATTTCATTCGAGCTGGGAGGCCGATAGCCAACACACAGGTTCAGTGTCGGTAATTGTTTGATGCATATCTTGCATGAAATTATTTCAAAATTTCGGGGCGCACCATCGGACATTTCTCGTTGACAGCACGCAATTTCATTTGAGACATAAATAGCTGTGCCTCCACCTCTACGGTGAAATCTGTCACAACGGAACAGTTTGTAGCCTTCAATTCTGACTTCGCTACTACTAATTTCCTCAGTCAACCATGTCTCTGTTAGGACAATTATGTGTGGCTTCTGTTCAGAGACTAGTAATCTGAGTTCATCTAGCTTGTTGAGAAGCCTCTGACATATAGTGTAATAGATTTCTAGACAGCGGCCACTGGTTCGAGCAGCCTCAGGAGTTGGCACCTTTGCATCGGTTAGGCTGTCAGAATGACGGCCTTCGGCCAGAGAAATGTCCTTTGGACCTGAATTATTTGTCCATTCTTGATTTGTAGGTGTGTTTCGCCACTGTTTATCCGCTTTTCCAGCTCCGTCATCAACTCTCTCATTTTCATTCGCTCTTTTGGTTCGTAATCCGGCTGAAAAAAAAAACTTCAGGATGCTGACCCCGTAGAGATGATTTTCTCTGTAACAGAAGCTGGGCCTGTGCTTCAGTCTCCAAAATGACTTTTAGGGGTCGAGGCCGGGAATTGGAACCGGATGCTGACAGATTATTATTATTATTAGCTAGCGCCACCAATCGCGCTACAATGACGCTCCGTTCTGATTTATTAAGTTTTCATTTATAGTTTTATCCTGCATTCAGGAAGAGCATAATCCGCTTACTCCTGTCCTTTCGTAAAGTAGCTTCTTCCTACGAACACTTCTTGAATATGGAGGATATTTTCATCGTTTATTTCGTAACTGATTATTTTTTTCCAAAAATTTCCATCTTTGAAGTTGCAATATTATTCTATTTATAAAAAAAGCAAGTTATTGGAGAGTACAACTCTCTGATGGACGTGTGAGGCTTTGCCTGCTTCACATAGCACAATTTCCAAACGTCACGTTCAATCTGACATCTCAGGCAGATCATTACCGTCTTCATGCACAATATCAGAGATGGGCTATAAGTCAACTTCGTCATGAGAGTGCACTATAGATGCCTAAAAAGAAAACAACCATTATTTTTATAACACGGTTGACCTCGGTATTAGCGGAAGCTCTGGATCACAGCTACCAGCGAAGAGCTCGAAAATAGGAATACTTTGGATCCTCTTCGAATGCTTACAGCCTCCTTTTTTATGTTCGAACACTACCCCTACTTAAACAATCATCCCATACCACTTCATATTGTTCCATGTCAGTTTATAAACTTAGATGTAAAATATTTTGCCCACAGCTTCGCGTGAATACACCTACAATTGTCATCTAAGCAAGTGAAAATTCTTATCGGATATTTTAAATATGACCTGCGCATAAAGAAATCCACGAATACTGAACCCCGAATAGGCAGGACTCAAATGTACATGCGTATGTACAACACTCCAACTCATTCAGATCCGAGGTTCGATCCTGGGAATTCGGCAACTGTTAGTAAGCCAGATATGGTCGCAGTATTATTCCGTCTTTGTAAGTACTCAATTTCTCAGCATATATTACTAGTCGCTGTGCGGCTGCCTTTAAAAATTGTGCATTAACCCCCAAGACAAAATAGCACAAGTAAGTCCCGTAATTTAATTGTTCAGCACTGATTATTTTCGATTAAAACCGACAGAGCACCGTACCAGGACTCAGTTGTGGAGCGTTAGACTTAACGTCCGATTACCAAAGAAACAAGGTTTGGACCGTAGGTCATCCAGAATTTGGATTCGGTATCGTTAGCCGGGACGAAAGTGGTAATCAAAGTCTCTTTTGGCTTCCTCATCATCTGCTACATAGGCTAATTTAGGGGACCGTAAACAGCATTAATGAAGTTTTTGAATTATGCGTGCAATCTTATGAATTCAACTTCGCTCTCTTGATCCATTTCTTAGTGTCTCTGTCTGGGTATCAGAGTTTTGTTTCATTATTATTACATTGATATTTTAAGTCATTTTCCATAAGGTTTTTGTTTTCATTCATGTTCCTGATAGGCGTATTAAGCAGTGCCCAATTATTTCTATTTTTTGTGGGCAACATCTTAATGCTCGTGTCCAATACATATGACCGATCGGTAGGCCTTTCTTTTTTGTGAATGCAAAAAAAACTGCACATATTCTTGCTGAACTGTCTTCAGTCACCCAATTTGTTCACTTCTGTTAGGTGTTTAAATACTAGTCTCGAATTAAATACTCTGGCGCATTCTCGCGAAATGTAAGTCCCTGTGGACCACAAATTCGAGATTTCCGATCGGACTACCTAAAAACTCCGGCCAACTGTGAATTACTGCCTAGTCCGTGCTAGTTCTGAGCATACACAACTACTTGATTTGCGACAGTCTTCCTGAGCCAATTGTATTTGAGTACTACCTGGATACCCTAGAGGACCCTCCTTCAACATGTCGGTTTACGATTCCTATATGTTTGAAGAAGACAAGATGTAAGACAAATTCCTGTTTCTCTGTCTTTCCGTGTAAAACCCTTTCATTTCGAATGTATTCCGTGGTTGTTTTGCCGTATCCAAAGTGGTATAGCACATATGTAGGTCCCAGTCGACCAGGCACTTATTCGAAGATTTATTTCTACAGATGTAGTAATTTCCAAATATGAAGTAGAAGCAACTCGCAAAATTATTTTATCCGCATCGGCCATACGTGATCGTGACTCCTAATTAAAGTTGGGGTCATTGGATATCCTTCTGCAGAAGGATATCCAATGACCCAGGGCTAGACATTTGCTAGCCCGTTTCGCTTGTGGGCTAGTGCATGGCTAGTGCATTTCGCACGTCACGCCCGGGGGTCCCTTTGCGCGTACGCACGCATGCGGGGTACATGCATGTCTGACGACTTAAATCGCCTCGGGCGAGAACGTCCTCAATTCGCCCGAGAGGGCGCGTCAACCTACTGTCCCCGTGTGGACAGTGTCCGCTAGGATTTCTGAAAAAATCCGGTCAATCGTAATACTACCCGGCGACCGGGTGATCGGGCTTGCTTTGGGCGAGTAGAATGCTATCAGGTATATAGAAGGTTAGATTTCTGCGTATTTATGGCTTTTCCATTTAAGAGCGTAGTTTCTAGTCCTGGCCTGCAATTATATCTGCAAAAAGGAGCGTTTTGTTCTTTAGTGTAAACGGCGTAAATAGACATACAATTCTTAGGCAGAATAGTATTACCGACAAAGACAAAGGTAATACTATTCTGCCTATATATCATGCGCCGCTGTGCGGCTGCTGGTTGGGCTCGAGAGAGAGTCCATAAGGCACAACGGAACGAGTGAGTTCCGTATGAACGATCGGTGAGCGCCCCCTAACATTATACAATTCTTAATTAGCCCGTGCAGGCCGTTTGTGTAAGACAGAAACAGTAATGTTCCTAGCTGATAGACTTAACATATGCCACTAAGAATTGCTATTCTAAACGACGCATTATCTCAGGCGTGTATTCAGGAAGTTCGGCCAGTTTGGTAGGATTTAGTCTACCCTTGTAAGCTGCATGCATAGTGCCTGCATCTTGGTCGCTAATGGGTTTGTCGCATCAAAGTCCTTTGCAAACTCAAATGATGCCGCCTATACCCTAGCTGTCATCTACATTCCCGGTCAGTGTCTCCTCTGTAGTCAGGTATTTCATGAGGTGCGGTTTGCGTTTGACGAGTCACTGCTGATTAGAGACGCGGTTTCCTTAAAAAAGCCGAAGAATCGGTACGACATTCGGCTTATAATTTCCCGCGTGACTACAGGTTTCTGAGGACTTAGGTCAAACAGGAAGTGACCATAATTGGGACTAGGAGCCTCAACAGGGCCGGTGGCAGCATGTTCGTTTCCGGACATTTGTGTCCGTTGGGGTGGAGTATCTTAAGCATCACCCCCACCGCTGCACCTGTTGCTATTTGCATATAGTAAGCTATCTTGGCTTGGTGGATGCAGCGCAATCCCACAATCATTCTATAGAAAGTTACGCGTAAGCCGCCCTTCCTGCTTTCATTCTGCTGTGGAGTACACGGTGGACCTCCTCGGTCACGACGGCCGAACTGTCGGGCCGTTCTAGCGACAAGGGAAAGTGCGCGTTCGTCCTCTACTTGAAGGGCTGGACGGGTTGTTTGATCAGTGCATTGGCAGCCTCGGCATCTTTGTCTGTGTTGGTGACGTCGCTCCCGTAGAAAACAGTTCCTATGTCCACGGAAATGGCTGAGATATGTGTAGCGTTTTGGGCATTACAGACAAACCTATTATCCGGCCACCTGAGATTAGCGTGCAGATCCTGTTTCCAATTCCTTTATTTTCGAGGGTCTCCTAGTATCCTACTGCTGTATAAATCATACCTAAGCCTGCTCTGTTTGATGGTACATTTTTCAACCCTGGGGAATTCTATGAGAATCGGTCGTTTTAGAGACGCGATGCTTCAACGGACACGCTGCCGTTAACTGCCAGGATGTTTCTCGCAGTAGTATCCACGTTAGTTCTGTGTTTGCGACGTTACCCCAATGTATATGGGGCCAGCTTATCCAAAGATGCGTGTTTATCATGATTTTAGTGCACGTTCGTTGGTAAAAATTAATATTCCGATATCATGCGGATGATTTTAAGGCATTAATTTTATAAACGAGGGAGTCTTGTGTGTGATAACTCCTGTGGATAAATACACCGGGCCCACTGACTTGCAGTAGGTAAAAGGATCGTGTTTTCTAGAATTCATATGAGCAGCACCACTTGTTTAAGAGGAATTTTCTGCGCGGTTGTGGAACGCTTAACGCCCCAGGGTAATCGCCGTTACCCTTCGAACAATTCCTCCAGCCGAATGACGACTCATTGAAATCCCACTGATTATAGCTTCTTTTCCGCAGGCTGGATGTGCGTTGAAGTGTAGTTCTTTATCATATGTAGCCGAACTGGGGCCAGGGTAACTGTGCAAAACTACCGATAGCCCATCGAATAAGTAAAACATATCTACAACACCAGCGTGGTTATAAGATATAGTATGTCAAATGAGGTAGGGTTCGACCCTTAGCCTCCGTAGAAGGTGCGACAACCCCCACAATGATTGCTTAATTCATTTTTTGCAAAGAGAGCAAAGCGATCCACAGAAATTTTCCCGTATAATATGGCCTCTGTCCAGATATCAGTGATTCCTGTTAAGTGTCTCAAATGCCCTAAAATCCGTTTGAATTCAGCCAATTTACTACGGCAACTTCATACATTCGTGCGCATTTAGCTTATATTGATCTCTTGGTGGCTTGAGAAGATTGCTTGTCTATCGAAAACTGCGGTAAAAGTCAGGACCCAGCTGACTTGACTTCCAGAGTGTGAAAATTTTACGTTGTTTTGTGACTTCGGCTTGTCAGTGTGATGGACCTGCCTAACTAATTTGACCTCAATGATCTTGACGAAACATCGTATCCTGCTGTCTTGCCCGCTTCCTGATGCTGAGAAGCGTTGCCAGTATGGATGTCAGAGCAGTGCAAGCTTAGGACGTTACATGATTGAAGGACCTCAAAGGGACATTTTTGGTTTCCTTTGGGTAATTTTAGCGGAAATGGAGGGAGCAACTCGATGCCCTAACTGACGCGATCAGCAGTAATTCTATCCTCATGCCCACTCAGCTTTGCGTAGACCTCGCCTGCAACAAGAACGTCTTTGGGCAGAGCCTGTTTAAGCGCGGTTATCCTTTTAGTGTTATACCTGCCGCTGCGTTTGTGGCTGGCGTAGATGATTCGATTTGCTAATCAAAAATATCTTTCGTGCATGTCTCAAGACGAACCAGAGAACGTGTTGATCTCATCATTTTATGACCTAAACTTAGCCGCAGTTACATATTTGGCCCGCAATTGCTAAATCCTCTACAGGAGCCTTTATTGCCATTTCACAGGACACCTACATTCAGGGGATTGGAAAGTTTCTCCGCCAAACATGGACTATAAACTGCGTAACAAAATGGGTACTAGCATCGTGTAGATAGCTTACACAGATTATTTAGAGTCGTCTGTAGGCATGCCAGCCAAACACGTAGCTCACATATGCCAGGGCACAACGATTTTTATTATTCTAGCATTGGACTGGTCATAGGGGGACGAACGACTGCGCCATTTTACAGTTTGCCGATTTGAAGCTACTCCACTTGTAACTTCCTGCAGTACTCATTGATGAGTTCCAGTAGTTTTGGACCTTACTCTCTTACTCTAATTGTTTGATCTAAGTCAACGTTGAGTGGATCGAAGTGGCTGCATGTCCACCCTTCTCATGTATCACTGCAGGCTGGTAGGCAGTGGTGAGATGGAATGACGCCTGCAACAAAATAGCGTAAGCATGCAACATATTAACGCAATTAGCCGAGTTCTATAATGTGCACATTTTATCCTTGCACATGTGTAAGAGTTTATTCTTGCTTTTTGTTTATTGCTCCGCCATTAAGATCTCCCTCCCTCCACCGTACACGGTTTGACTCAATTCCAGTCATCATTTACATGGCTCTGTATTCTGTGCTATTACTAAGTGTGTTGCGTGGCTTCTGCTCTGTAGTCTGCAGTCTTTTGCTCTAAATTCCTGTCGCCTATTGTTTTCACGTGCCCTCGGCGCTAGCGAAAACAACCAGTATTCCCCCGCCCCTGCTTTACTTTAAATGCGCCTCCTTCCTTATGCGGCCTCCAAGGCACTATAACACACGTGAGGTCCGGGCCGTTCATCCCCTTTGTGCGAAGGCCTGACGCCTTGTACGGGGGACCAGGTCATGTGTGGCACGCGTAGACGGGCAGAAGGTTGACCTACTCCGACAGTTGGCTGGTATACCGAAGATAGAGAGAGAAAGAAGAGGGAATGAGGCCGACATCCGGGACTCCATCCCCGCAGCACTTCGGCGCATCCCTCGCTATAATCAATCTAACGTGCTGATTCTAACACGACGTGATAAACGTGGCCGGGAAGGTTGCCAACTGACGGCACAAAGCAGACCTCGCAGTGTAGATGGACTGATTGGTGTCCCGAGGGTCATCTTCAATGGCTCCTTTTGAATACGGCCTCTATGGCACTCCCATTCAGATGGGATCCAGGCCGCCGCTTGTTGGTGTGAAAACCTGGTCCAGCGTTCACGGATCAAGTGTACGTCTATATGGTACGTGGAGACTGGCCGCCGTTTAGCTCTGTCAACCACTGCGCCCGATCCCGCCTACGGTATTTTTGACAATGTAGTGACACACGGCTCAGGTGGATGAGGAGGGGGGAGTGCGGTAGATGCTGTGCAAGTCTACTGTCACCATAAACTAGTTCACAGCCAAGTCACCGCCCCTGCACGCGGTGGACGTCGTCGGTAACGGCGGTCAAACAATCACATGCTATTATTGTGTTTTTCTTAGTTTTGAAGTGGGAATTCGGAGAATAGATGTTTCTGCTGGTACATGTTTTCCGTTCTTGTGGATTTTCGCCGAAGTCAAAGACCCCCGGCTTCTAGAAACCCTGGTTGGTTGATTAACAGCGACTACGTCATCTTGAGGGTTACTCTGAACCAAGTATCTAACTACTGAGGGCGCTCCTTATTAAGTTAGAAGCTTACCTCCAATTTGGTTATTGAACGGGATATTTTGGTATTATTCTTCCGTGAAGATGCCCATTAAAGTATCATGATGAAATAGGCAGTTCGTCACATATCCTCAAGCTACAACAAGACCATATGATCTTGCTATGGGCCATGAAGAGGTCGAGTGAACTTGGGAAGAAACAAATTCCTCTAGAAAACTAAGACATAACCAATCGTATTCTGTATTAAACCAAGTTGCCGGCCCGCGGCATTTGTGATCTTCCGAGGTCCAAACTTTAGTCTCACCGGAACCTCATGTTTAAGAGTCAATCTCTGACTCTTTTCCCATCACTCACTGCCTTTTTTGTAGGGGGATGACAGTCACGAGTGGCTCCATCACTCTAAAAAAGGACCCCCAAAATCTTGTTGGCATCAGCATCGGCGGCGGAGCTCCCTACTGCCCCTGTCTGTATGTCGTACAGGTCTTCGACTCGACTCCGGCTGCCCGAGATGGAACCATTCAGGCTGGCGACGAAATCACTGGTGTTGGTGGCATCAGTGTCAAGGGAAAGGGCAAGGTTGAGGTCGCCCGTCTGATCCAGAGTTTCAAGGCAATACCTAGTAATTCACTTACCTCCCCTCCCTCTAGGACACAGTTACAATCTTCTTCAACAAACTCCACGCAGACCCTAAACAGGGGAAGACGCTGGACATAGGTAAGGAGTTCTTTGTGCTGAGTACTGCTGGTTCCAAATGGTCACTTAGTAAAACAACAAAATGACCGACGACAGGTTAACCGAAGAGTCTAGATCGCTGAAATATGAAGTGTGCCCTTATGATATTTCGAATTTACGCTCGGACGCATCATCAGACATAACAACAGAAGGGGTGGCAGACTCACGGTGGTTGCCGTATTTGTAGACTGCAGTTAATAATAAGAATAGGAGTACTTATAACCTAACAAGCTTGCCGACCCTTTTAAGTACAGTCTGGTGAAGCCTATCCGTCAAACTTTTAATGTTTTCCCATTAACTTTGTTGCCTTCTGTGAATAATTTAGTTTGGAAGAAGATGGTAAAGCGATCTCTGGGGAGGAAAATTTAATCATCCGACGTTTTGTATTCGTACTCGAGCACGTCATCAGAGATAGACAAAATGAGAAAAAAACATGGTCTAAATAGGCAATTCGTGCTCGCACCTGATAAGCCGATCCCGCTCTCTTCTTATTGGCTCTCTCGCGCTCAAGTGGTGCCTGACGGCCTCGTATGGCGCTGGTAAGTCAATAGTCATACGCATGGAGTCAGTATTTTCGCAATCGACTGTGCGTAAGGATGGTTAACAGAAGTTTTGTAGTATCGACTTTCCGTAACATCCCGACGGCGTGTGCTCCCCTTGTACTGTATTTTAGAGCCATTTTGACGAGGTCGCGGGTATTTTCGTCTCATTATTTCGTTGAGACATATTTTCGCGTGGCACACGTTCGACTGCAATTGCATGCTGCGTGCGTCACTGCGGCCACCCACTCTCATCCCTTTGTGTGGGAGCTAGAAGACAGAAAAGTCGATCCATCTCGAGTCCAGCGCGGAGTCTCCTCACTTTAAGGAATCAGACGCGTTCCGAATCTGTCGTTATGCGTTAACAGCTATAGCTTGGAAGTTTGCTAACTGACGGGACAATTCGGATTTGCCCAGACTTGCCACTCGGACTGCAATAACTCCTTTTAAGCGTGGCCCTTGTGACATCCCTCATATCTGCGAGATCTGTGGCATTCCCGCCACGTTGGAGCGTTGGACATACAGTAGGTGGGCTAACTCATGAAATGTCAACTGAAATTCCGATATGCGTTTTCGTTTCGAAAAGATTAAATCAGTAGGGTTGTAAAACTAATCAGTCTGCAGTATAATTCTATAATAATTCAGTTACCTCAGGATGCTGGCTTTCGAAAAGACTTCCTTCCGGCTGCATACAAAACCTATACTCTGTAAAAAATGACTACTTAATTAGCATGCATTTTCTCATTGATTTTTGATGCCCCTGGAAGTCCAATTATATTTAATGGAAAACATGCATAAAAATATTCACACCTTTACTTATTCGGCAGAAAATCCCGCCTTCTTCAAATGTTATACTCCAGGGAAGAGTATAGTTCGGTTTTAAAAAAATTTTCTGATTCGCGAATAATTTTAAATCCGACCTGCGGTTATACTCGCATTCAGAGTTTCCAAACTACAAGCCATGTATTTTCCGCCTGCGGAAAACCACACTTTTCTCTACAGTATTAAGAGGAGACCATATGGGGTTAATTAAATTTAGCAGTGCATTTGAGCAATATTGCTAACTTTACAAGGCACATTGGTAAATGCAGATACATGACGTTCTATGAACGGCCATCGGACGGTATTAAAAAATCTCATAGTTAGAAACTTTTTTAAAACCGAATTATGTCCCTCATTCGAGTATAAAATTGAAAGAAGACATAATTTTCTACCGAATGAGTAAAAGAATGAATATTCGTATGCATGTTTTCCATGAAATATAACTGGACTTTTGGCGGCATCGAAAACCAATGAGAAACGTTCACGCGAAGTAAGTAGTCATTTTTACAGAGTATAAATTTTGCATGCAGCAGGAAGGAGGTTCATTCGGAAGCCGGCATCCTGAGGTAACTGGAATATTATAGAATTACGCCTCATAGTGATTAGTTTTACAACCCTTCATAATTAATCTTTTCGAAACGAAAACGCATCTCTGAATTTTAGTTGGCATTTCATGAGTTAGCCCACCTACTGTACTCGCAAGCAAATATGAACAGCGCGTTTTGAGTGCCACCATATCTGAAATTCGCAATCGTTCATGGAGCTTAAAAGCAACACTCTGATCTTAGAGCCTGGCTGGTTTCATTTATACCTGCAAAGGTCTTCCAAAGAAATATGTTAAGATGTAAACGTCCGCCATTGTGTTCACTCTCATCCCTTTCGCGGTAGCTAGAAGAGAGAAAAGTCGACCCATCTCGATTTCAGCGCTCAGTTCCCTCACTTTAAAGAACCAAGCGCGCTCCAAATCTATCGTTATGCGCTAACATCTGACGGAACAACTCGTATCTACACAGACTTGCCACTCGGGCCGCATTGGTCCCTTTTAAGCGTGACTTGTGAGCGATCCGTGGCATTCTTTCTTCGGGGCCTGGCTCATGCGAGGTCTGCTACACCAGGTCGCGTATGGTATGCGTAAGCAGATGTGTAAGCTCTGTCAATTAGTCTCCAACCCTCTTGCCGCTGCCATGCTGTCGCAGTGTCGGAAGAGTACGATGAGGCCTGTGTACTGAAGGTTTGCTTCGCTCTAAAGAAGTCCATGCGAGTTTCCTCTGATGGGCGAACTGTGGTTGCCATTTTATGATTCCAAAAGAGCTCCATCTCGTATCTAACTGCATTGCACACAACATATAACAAGATTCTCTGGTACTCTGATTTGCTGGAAGTCGACAAGCTGAGAAACAGGCGAAATCTCCCTCTTTCTGAGAGGTTACGCCTGTGTGTTGCCAATGCGTATTCGATATGGTTGACTGCGTTGAAGCCGGGATTCATTCATATCGTCCTTCACCTAATAATAAGGCGAATGAGTGTATTCGATAAGCTTGTGTAGCGTGCCGCAGTGAGTGACGGATGTACGTTAGGGATCCAGATACTGGTTTAGCGGTCTCAGTGTGGTGGATACGCAGGTGACCGACCAGGCTGGTGCGCGATGTAAAGGTAGTAGTGTTGGTTCAGGAGGGCCTGGAGTGATGTAAGCCCAACCGCAAGATTGCGATAAATGACGCAATGATTCACCAGGCAGCAGCATGCGTGGACTTGGGTTTCTCTGCCACCACATAAAACGTTTCATTCATTGATCCTCACCGTGGGTAAGTTGCCCGGTGTGATGTGGTTGGTACTGGAAAAGGTCTCCTTCACTGAGATCTTGGTTGTGGCAGCGATCGAGGGAGCGGATGGTGTGTTTAGCTCTCTGGTCGATATCCGGCGGCTGCCAATGCACTTTCTTTTGGGGGCAGGATAGGAGTCGTGAGCATTACTGACTGCGGGACGCTAAGTGGTTGGGCAGAATCACTCAGGCTTTGCCACCGTTGAAAGTCGTTCTCCTTTCTTCAGTTGCGGAGAGCCAACTGACGGCTATTTCACTGTCAAAGGCACGTGAAGTAGCTGTTACCCTTCTTCGGTCATGTTTGCGTTATAAGTTTGTGGTTGACGGTGTCTTACTTAAACTGCCTACTAAGCTGATGGAGATGGGATGGCGTCTTCCTCTATCCTGTCAACTCTGCTTCTAAGGCCGTTTCGTCTGGCCAGATGGCTCCAGATCCCCAACCGCTTGCTTTAAACCAACTTGATGGATGGATGGGGATGCGCGGACCAGGCATTCGCACTAAGGCGCATTCTCGAAATTCGCCATGGCTACCAGCAACCGACGGCCGTCAGCTTTGTTGGCCTTGCCGCCGCGTTCGATTCCGTCCAGCATGAGTCCCTATAGCAGCTAATGGCTCTAGACGGTGTACCGCCAAAAATCATCGCCATGATCAAGGCCTATAATCGCTCCACCATCGCGCGAGTCCTGGTCCACAACGGTCATTCCCAACCGTTTGGTATTCGGTCTGGCGTTGGACAGGGTTGTTTCCTGTCGCCCATCCTGTTCAACTACGCTATTGACTAGATTCTTGGAAGGGGCCTACACGAAGGTGACAGTATGGAGTTTGCACCCGGACACCGAATGGCTGACCTCGACTATGCCGATGATATCGCCTTAGTTGCTTCAGGTTTTGGTGATCTGCAATCTATGCTGTCACGGGTGAACGGGGTCGCTAAGTCGGTCGTTTTATCCATAAACGCTGGAAAGACTAAAGTGTTTTCAAGCTGCACCCCTGACCAGGAGAAGGCACCTCTCGGGATTGATGGCTGTCAACTTGAAGAAGTAGACAGTTTTAAATACCACGGATCGAGGCTGTTGCCGAAGGACCAGAGTAAGGATGACATTGTCTCCCGAATTGATGCTGCCTGACGGGTTTTCTTAAGCCTTCGGAAATGCCAATGGATCCGACGTGACCTCTCCATCGCCGCTAAGATTCGCGTGTACCGTGCATCTGTCCGGTCTGTCCTTCTCTACGTTTGTGAATGCTGGGCTGTGGAGGAGGACGAGCGAGAACTGGAGGTAATCGATCACCACTGTGTGAGGACCATCCTTCGAGTGAAGTTCACCGACTTCGTCTCAAATGAGACAGTCCACGCTCGCTGCGACAACATTGCACAGATAACTCTGGATATCCAAGAAAGACGACTGAGGTGGTTCGGGCATGTTCGACGTCGTCTACCTCAGAAGCTCAGTGTTACTGCTGTCGATCCAGCACCGTTGCCCAATTTGGAGGCGTCGAAAAGGGAGTCAACTCAAAACCTGGCTCGACGCAGTTCGTCAAGTCATGGAGGTGGTTCTTGGATCTTCAGCATTTGGTCTTCGTCGTTGGCGAGGAGAATGGTTTTGACTGTCCAGACATGCTTCCGGGGATCGTCATGCGTGGGGAGGTACAGTTCGGGACATCATGGAGGCCGGCTGCACCAGGCATGTTCGCAGCCGTACCAAGTACAAGTACAACTCGATGCAGTCCAATCACCTCTGGCTTTTAGTCTCCCTGTAGCTGGATATTTGCTCTCTTCTCCATAAGTTTTTTTGGCTGGCATATTTTCCTAGGATGTAAGTATAAAAACACCGTTCGCTTCTTTTTGCATTGCATTATCCGTCTTGATACGCTTAACGCTTAGCCAACCTTTTTAGCCTGCATGTGCTTGCCCTAGTCAGATGTCGAGTTAGGCCTCTTTGTATGCTATGTATTTCTCCTCATGTCTTCTAGCACGGTTTACCACTGAAATGCGTCTTACTTCTATTGCAGTTCTAAAGAAGATGAAACATCGTATGGTGGAGAACATGGAAGCCAGCACCGCAGATGCTTTGGGACTGAGTCGCGCTATCCTTGTCAACGGTTTGAGCCTGCTCTTATATGCCTGCTGTCTTCTATGTTTTTCGCATTTTTCTCCCCCTGCCTCGGCCGGTATTTATCACGGCCTTTGCCTTCGCTGAACCCCATACCCAGTACGCAAAGACGACTGAGAAAGTTGGTTTGTGTGGAAAAAATATCAAGTAGTTAAGCGGTTGAAACGAAATTATAGGGATAAACAGAAATCAGGTTTGTGTGTGTCCCCCTGTAGTGTCCCCCCCCCCCCAAAAAAAAAAACGGGCCACGTGGTAGGTGCGCTGGGCCATACCGGATCCTGGCAGGCGTTATCGGCAGACGTCACGCACATTGGGACCCCTGCAGGCCCCACTATTGTTGTTATTGGTTAAAATCCTGGTCATTTGCTGTGTGCACCAGGGGTTGTGGAGTGGATCGTCATTTTATTGGTGGCAGATAGTAGACGGAGCGCTGAGGATGTACCTAAAATGCTGCGTCAAACGCTCCAGAACTCGCGATTTCTCTGTAAGTAGGGTTGTTTCATCTGACCTGAGTAGTGGCGTAGTTCCCGTAATTTGAATGCCGTAGACTACCCTTAATTACCGTGAAAAAGTCTCCCGGTTCACGTTGATTTGCGTAGCCCTAGGTTCACTTCGTTATGCTATGGAGCAGCATACACGACGTCTTCAGCAACATCGTGCCTCACTTCTGCAGCAAGCGCTTGATCCATTTTGCCTTCGCTGATATGGCGATAGTCTTCTTGATTCTGTCTTGATACCGGGTCCAGGTGATGGAGGAGAGAGTGTGGTAGATGCTGTGCAAGTCCACCATCACCATAAACTAATTCACGCACAAATCACCGTCTCCGCTCTCACCTTGATGTGGAGCACACGTTGAACATCATCGCAATCGACGTCGAACTGTTGTGTGCCCCCACGCTTAGTAATTCCTCCCTTGGAAAGCTGTTTTCGTATCGTCTGTTTGTTTGCCCAGTCTGTTTGGAGGCCGCGACTTTGGGAATGTGTGTCGCATTTAGCTAGGCACTAAGATCTGCTCACCAGTTCACTGCTACCGGACTTCCTCTACCGAAAAAGACTGGGTTTAAGATCTTGTTTACTCTCCAGCAACTGAGAAACCAACTTGTTTTATTACGCCGAACAACGGGGCGAGGGGAGGGGAAAACCGAGGATTAGTTGGCCGGCTGGAACGCCACCGCTGTTTAGTTGAGGCATGCTGCAGTTTGCATAAAAGTATTTAGCTTCACACAGTCAAGAAGGTCTCGCGGTGGCTGTCTAGGTTTGCATATTTCTCGTGCCCTGTCTCGCGAAATCTTGTTCCACTTGCTAGTAATCATAACGGTTTGAACGTCGCAACCGACGATGTCCACCGCAGCAAGGTGAAGCAGGCACAGTGACTAGCGCCTGAATTAATTTCTGGTCATAGTAGGCTCGCACACCATCTACTGAACGAGGCTCGGGTGTCCCACACTTCGGGCTTGGGTATGGCTGGCTGACGACGGCTAATAAGCCAGAAATGGCCATTCCAGTCTCCCTTGTCTTTGTCGGCAATGCCATTCTGCCTATATATCATGCGCCGCTGTGCGGCTGCTGGTTGGGCTCGAGAGAGAGCCCTTAAGGCACAACGGAACGAGTGAGTTCCGTATGAACGATCAGTGAGCGCCCCCTACCATCTACTGAACTCTCTACTCCTCCCCCATCTGGACCCGCTGCCAAGACAGGGTCAAGAAGGGCGGAGGTGAAGGCGCAGGTGTCTGACACGGCCAGACCCGCATCTTTTCATACTACCGCACTCCCCCCCCTCCCCGTCCACACCAAATGTCTGACCAGGATTCTACGCAACAGCAGCACCGCAACGGGTCACGAAGATAAAGATGACTGGCCAGCCGTGCTCACGACCTGTATACATAGCGAGAGCGCAAGCGCATATACCGACAGGGAACAAGATGCCAGAGAACTGCCAACGCGCACCACGCTGCGAAAGCCGCGGTTTGCTGATCCTTGAAATGCAGTGCTCTTGAAAGGGGTTTACCGGTAGGTTAATCTGCACATACGGCATCACGTCAGCGACCATCGAGGACCAATCGTAAACGAAAAGGAGGCCCCTTGCTCTATTCCACTCGGATGCTGTCCTCGAGCTTATATGCTATGGTAGGAGGGCGCTCACCGATCATCTTGCGGAACTCACTTGTCCCGTTGTGTCTTAGGGTTCTTTCTTTAGCCCAACTATCAGCTGCACAGCGGCACGTACTGTAGGCAGAATAACATTACGGACAAAGACAAGGGAGAATGGAATGGCCATTTCTGACTTATTAGCCGTCGTCAGCCAGTCATACGCAAACCCGAGGAATGGAACACCTCGGATTCTGCCTCAGCGACTGGTACCCTTGTGGGGCGTGGCATCTCCTGCGCCCCTAACATTTTTGAGTACAAGTCGAGTCGAATCTGAGGAAGAAGATCCCGTCGGTGCGATGAATAGCTTGCTCGCCCGACCTTTTAGTAACACAGTCAGTTCTTGGACTGACAGGGCAGAGCAAGGCGGGTAGTAGATGAGGTGCTGTTTGCAAATAGTGGTCTTAGCCAAACACCGAAACTACGGCTGCGACAGTAGCGATTGAGGGAGACAGGAGCAACTCCTATCGTTTCTCAGCAGTGAGCGAGGACATTTACATTCAGCTTGCTTTTCATATGCAGTATTCGATGGTAGCTCAATCGTTGTACCCCACGATGTCCACCGTGTGTTCCACAGCAAGATGAAGCAGACACGGTGACTTGCGTGCGCATTAGTTTATAGTGGGTGCAGACTTGCGCAGCATCTACCGCACTCCTCCTCTCCTACCTAGGCCCGGCGTCAATACATAGTCAAAGAGACGGGGGGTGAGAGAGGCCGCAAGTGGCTGGCATGGCCGGACCCACACCTAGGCCTACCGCCACACCCCCTGGTCCTCAACAAACAAACACATGACCAGGATTTTAACCAACAAAAATAGCACCAAAACTGGTTAGAAAGACGGGGACGACTGGGCAGCCATGCTCACGACCTGTATACCCAGCGGGAGCGCAAGCGCATCTACTGGCAGGGAACCAGGTGCCAGAGAACTGCCAGTGCACACGAGGCTGCGAGGGTCACGGTTTGCTGACTCATGGCATAACGCACGCTCTCACAAACCTTGCTAGTAATTACAGACCTTATCAATTGCTGGACGTATTAGACTAAAATTATCCCCCTGGCCGCATGCGCGACTCCCTCTTGGTTGGACGGCCACTCATTTTGGAATATAAGTGTGCGCCAATTGATTCACACAGTCGACATTGCGCAGCCGTGGAAGATTGATAGGCAGGAGCATCCGACGCGAATTTCAGTGTCGTCAGTTCAATCCTATCTGAAGGCAGACATTTTCTATGTGGATTGTCACATTTCTATGGTCTGCCTTAATACAAACTGTTCTGGCTATTCTCTAAATCACTGGCTAGGTTAGGTGTCGAACGCGTTATCCAATACTTTCCCTGGCCGCCTATTGTTTGGCTTGTTTAGGACGCATCAGTTTTGGCTCAGAAACCTTTAACCTGATCCCTTCTTTTCGTGCGACCCTCCAGCGTCTCCATAACTGTACATTCGCTAGCTCCACCGTCCTTATTTGTTTGTCGCAAAAGTGAGGCATTGATCATGCTTGGCTTCATGCCTGTCTCCGTCATCGTCTTGCGTTGCTACAGCCCCGGCCCAAACATTGGCGCTTTGTGGACGTCGAATTACGTTGTTCAAGGCAGTTGCATCACGTTAACTCTTGTCTGTCGTCCACATTTCAGACGGTCTTGTTAAGAAGATGGACGAACTGGATCGGACGGCGAACATGTTTTCGGGACTTGTTGCACACTCACGCTCTCTTGTACGAGCCATCTTCAATCTCTCCAAAGTTCACCGCGGTAAGTACTCTCCCCTGTCTTCTTCTTTACCTACTCAGCTTCAGCGTCTAAGTAGTGAATATACCCAGAGCAATCCGGCCCTGTTTTAGAGGAGCTGAGGGATACCAGTGGGAGTCGCGTATTCTGTCAGAACCCCGACGCGCGGCCTTACCCTCAAATGATACGAAGCCAGCAGGAGATTGTCGGGTCTAGGAAAAAGGCGACTGTTTTATATTGTGGTGTAAAGGATGCAAAAACCTTTGTTCGAACGTGCATCCGAAACCTCAGCCGAATGGGCTTCCTGCGCCTCGGGCGATCGAATTTTCTTCGCAGAGTCTGTTTTATCCTTCATACGCGGCGAGACTACTAGTGTCCAGTTTGCCTGGCATTGAGACGCCTGGCCTGCATCACCGTGCTATTTCGGGGAAAAACGAAAGAATGAGGCTATGGGCGAGAGGTTTGAGGATAAAACTGATGCACCCGCGTTTGTTTTGAGGCATAAGTGAAAAGAAATCGATCTCGAGTTCTATTCTCGCACATCTTGTCGATACGAATCACCGAGTCGATGCCGAAGAAGCCTTTCAGTTTGTCTACCGGACACCAGCAAGCTTCTCCAGAGGCCTACGCCAACCGGTGCTAGCTACAGCCGAGGCAGTGGCTATACGGCTAGCCAATCCAGTGCTATGCTGCCAGAAGACTCTGACACAGGCGCTCTGTCTTCCGTGGCCAACGCCGACCCCAACGTCGCCCCAACCTCCTGATGCCAGGGTGTGTGCACAACGTACCCGACGTACTCACAGCCTATGTCCCTCCCCCTCGCCCCCTTGACCCAATGAACTCGACACGCTGACCACGCCATAGCACGCCTCGTCAGGCGAGTGGCGTAGGTACAATGGATGTTACTTGTCCCTGAATCACTTAAAAGCCATGTAATTTCGCATAACTTAAACTTCTATGCAACCGTTTTGGCCTGATAAAGAGTTAACGAAAACACGTATTTGCCAAAATTGACTTTTCAATTGTAACATGGGAATGAATATTCGCTGAACTGAGCATAAGTTTCCGTTCAAGGACATTTTTTCAACTTTTGTCAACAGTCAAATTATCGACGCCCACCTAGGCTGGACATTGTGTATACTGCATTTGTTCATATCTTTGGGCTGGGTACCGCTCAAAGTAGCCTTTCGGAATTTATGTCTAAAGCCATCTTTGGCTCCACCCAAACGATGCATCCCAACATTTTGGTCACTCTGGAGTTCATCAACTGACAGGGTGAAGGGGGGAACTAAATAACTGGATAAGATAACGAAGCGTTTCTCACGCCTGAGCGGTGCACCTTGAACTGCAAAGGCCTACTTCAAGTGACTTGTTTTCTTTCTTGCAGATTTTGGACAAATTCTGTCAGAGATTGGTGTCAAGGAGCCCCAGATGCGTGCAGGCTTGGCCTTCACCCAGTTCGCTGATGCCCATCGAGACATGCAGAAGTTCGCCACTGAAACGCTTAAGAAACTCAAACCGGTGAGTTACTGTCCCCACCACATGCAGCAAAAGCTGACGTATACATTACGGCCAAAAAAATATTTCCACCGCCCTATACACACGACGTCCTAACCGTCGCGAAGGACGACCTTGTTATGACCCACCTGGTACTTGAAATCCCGTGGAGCGTATACGCACTCGACCCGTGTCCCCAATACCAAAGCAGCAGACAAAGAAAACACGGCCGGCCACGGAAAGTGTATTAGAAAAACACTGCAAGTCGCGACTAGCTGATAGGTGACGTATATTTATAACATCCTACCTTGGTTCACCGGCATTCGGCCAAATGACCTTCAGGAAGAGGGGAGTAGCCAATGGAGAAGCGCCCGATGGAGATGACAGCGCTGTAGAGAGAGCAACCTCACGTGGTCCCCAGTGATTGGTCGGCTCTTGTTTTTTCGGGAGTATAGGCACTCCCAACAGACCTTCACTGCGATATGCCGATGATATTGCCTTGCATGCTTCAAGTTTTTGTAACCTGCAGTCTATGGTGTCACGGGTGAACGGGGTCGCTAAGTCGGTCGGTTTATCCATAAACGCTGGGAAGACTAAGGTGTTTTCAAGCTGCACCCCGGACCAGGAGAAGGCATCTGTCGGGATTGATGGCTGTCAACTTGAAGAAGTAGACAGTTTTAAATACCTCGGGGCTAGGCTGCTGCCTAATGGACAGAGTACGCACGACATTGTCTCCCGAATTGATGCTGCCCGACGAGTTTTCTCAAGCCTTAGATAATGCCTATGGATCTGACACGACGTCTCCATCGCCACTAAGATCCACGTGTACCGTGCGTCTGTCCGGTCTGTCCTTCTTTATGGTTGTGAATGCTAGGCTGTGCGCATGGAGGAGGAACTGGCGGCAATTGACCACCACTGTTTGAGGACCATCCTTCGAGTGAAGTGTAGCGACTTCGTCTCAAATGAGACAGTCCACGCTCGCTGCAAAAACATCGCAAGGATAACCCAGGCCATCCAAGAAAGACGACTGAGGTGGTTCGGGCATGTTCTTCGTCGTCCACCTCAGGAGCTCAATGTTACTGCCCTCGATCCGGCACCGTTGCCCCATTGGAGGCGTCGAAGAGGGGGTCAACTCAAAACCTGCCTCGATGCAGTTCGTCCAGACATGGAGGTGGTTCTTGGACCTTCGGTATTTGGTCTCCGTCGTTGGCGAAAAGAATGGGTTGCGCTGTCCAGATCTGCTGCCGCTGCTGTAAACCCTGTACGCGTTATGGGGGCAAGCCGGTGTGTGGCACGCGTAGAGGGGTTGTTCAGCTTTGTCCGCCAGTGCACCCGCGCTCACATCCAGTCGTCTTGACACTGGACTGGGAGAGGGAGTGTGGTGGATGTTACACATGCCTGTCTCACCATAAACTAACTTACCCCCGAGTCACCGGCGCTGCGTCCATTCCGTGGGGCACACGGTGGATGCTGTCGTTTGTGAGTGCCGAACCATTAATTTACCCGACGCGACGTTGGATTAGAAAGGCAATGTTAAATGTGGATGGGATGGTGTGGGCAAACTGAGATAGCAAGCAGCTTCCGGGAAGTGGCCATTTCGGGAGGATGATCTGCAGAGAAGAGGTGTTGCCCATCGAAGAAAACCCTGTTTCCGGGCTTTAATTACACAAGTGCCCTCCATCTTCAGCATTGCTCCGCACATTACACTGTCATCGAATTCGGCCATCCTGTTCATGCTCACTTTTGGACGAAACCAATAGGAACGCGTCGATCGACTGGGTCGTGAGATTCGATTTTTGTGGTCATCTTTTTCCATGCTTCTATTCGGGACCAAGATCGGGCCCTTGCATCGCACTAGTCCCTCTTTACTTCCTTCTTTAACCTCACCTTTCAACTCTACTTTCGCAAATCCATGGATTCCATATCGCAAATGGACATTTGCAGTTGCTGTGGAGTAATCGGTGCGGTTTTTCGGCTACTGGCTGGCTACCCTAAGTCAGCACAAGTCCTCTGCGATTTAACTCCCGAAATCGCCAGCATGCCGGCCGGTCAGCAGTTAGAAGGAATGGGGTTACGAATCCTTTCGAGGAGCCACGCCTTTGGCTATTGTGATCTCTACCACCTAACGTAGCTCGCGTTTTCTGCTGGTAGCGACTATGTACGAAGCCACTTCACCTTTTTGGCACTTTGTGTCAAATGACTTTTGTAGATGGTGGCCGACCTCAATACCTTCCTCACGAAGGCCATTCCGGACACCAAACTGACTGTCAAGCGGTACCTGGATGTCAAATTTGAGTACTTGGTGAGTGCTTTGGTGATGCCTCTTCCCAACGCTTTGTTTGCATGCTAGATTTAGTCTTGTAAAAACGACGCCACTAGGTTATTTCTTTGTAAATAGGATCTCAGAAGTTATTGGAGCTTTCAGGCCTCCGCTAGGACCTAGTACTTCCGGCATCAAGAATCATCGCCCGTGTGGTCTAGGCACCTCCCATTTGACTGCCGTCTCCCAGCCACTTACAACACTGTCAAGAATGTGCTGAACCGTCCACTCGAGACACATTTACTAGTCACTGCCACGCAGGCTCTGTGATCGCAGACTGTGGCATCAGCAACTCCTGTCAGGTTGGCTTTCCACCATAGGACACCGAAGAGTCTTGGGCCCAGCAGTTTGCCCAGGCGGAAATTCGGACAGCCATTTGACTGTTGAGATGTCCGCCAATGAGCTTCTACTCTTTTTTTCATCGGAAGACCTCACGTCGGGGTCACCAATGTCGCGGCAGCAGCAGCAGATTAGGCCATAGTGAGATCCCAGCCGCTACAACCTTTAGGCTCGGTCCCGAATAGAAAGAGAATGAGTTGTGAAAATAATTTACTCCGTACAGAAGGAGGGGTTGGAGAGAGAGAGTTGGCAGCCGAACGAGGGCACGTCCGGCGCCTGGAAAGCAGCTTATGCGTCACAGTCCCCTGATCGAAGATGATTGGTCAGTCGGAAAACTGTGGGCTGGCGAAAACTAGGCTGCTGCTGCTGGCGGAGCATTACAACAGGCGCCCAAGCCAAGACCACTACAGGCTCTCGACGCAGTGGTGCTGTCCCGCCGTCCTGCGACCTGGTGGCCACGCATTCGAATACGCCGTATTCTCTGGAAACACTGCCTGTCACTCACACCTCTATCTTCTGCAATTCAGGTCCTTTTCCAATCTCCTTACGAGGCGGCGAAGGCGGCCGTGAAAGTGATTGCCTTGTCCTCCGCCCTCAGGTTTACGTCCCCGGCTAAATTCCTCCTGGCCAGACTGTAGGCATCTACGGGGAGATGATAGAACATGCTGTGGGCAAGTGTAGAATAACAGTCCATCCATGGGATAGGAGGATGATCGAAACCCCCTGGGACGACCAGCTTTGTCTTACTCATGGATTGAACCATAGTGAGGAGGGATAGACTGTCCTGCCCTATGGCCGTGTGGGGATCACATTTCATCATAGCACTCTTCCCTCCTGCAACAGTTAAGCTGGTCAACCTGACTGCCGAGTGGACGCTTCGTACAATTGGGATGCAGATCGCGAGCTGATCCCGCATAGAGTTGTTTGGCTCCTTGACTTGCTCATGCTTGTTCAGACGCGCGTTGAAGTAGGCGTGGTACCCCTGTACAGGAAAAGAAGAGTGGCCTATCCTCCTCCTCCTCCCAGTAATAGAGCTGTTTGTTTTCATCACACAAAATATGCGCGATGAGTGTTCACCTGCGTTTCGCTTCATCCCTCGTACCTCCCGCCCGCCCGCCCGCCAGTCCTACTGCCTGAAGGTGAAGGAGATGGACGACGAGGAGTACACCTTCAACGCCCTGCAGGAACCCCTTTATCGCGTGGAGACCGGCAACTACGAGTACCGTCTGGTACTGCGCTGTCGCCAGGACGCTCGCACACGCTTCGCCAAACTCCGCAATGATGTCCTCGTTAAGTTGGAATTATTGGACAATAAACACGGTATGCTGCCCTCCGTCATCTCCCTGTCCCCACTCTCACTCCTCTTCGCTCTCTCTCCTGAACCACCACTTCCATCCTCCTCCCACTCCTACTCCTCCCCTTACCCACCCCCACTCCCTTTCGTCCTTCCTCTTTCACCATCTTATTCTTGTTTTATCTTCCTCCACCTTTACAGTTCATTTCCTTGCTACTGCTTGTCCACTTTTAGCCTCTTGCAGTAGCAATTCCCTGTTTGAAACGCACTGACGAAGCCGGATAGAGTAGGTGGCATATCTCACGAAATTCTGGACTGTAATTTCTATTATAAAAGGTTACTTAAATGGGGTTGTAATATTGAATATCGTACAACATAATCCCAGGATATTTCATTCGCGCCAGGATGCTTGCCCTTTGAACGCCCGTCTTTCGGGCTGCATTCAAAACTCATACTCGCCGAAAAATGAGTACTTAAGTATCATGACTTTCTTCCTTCGTCATCGTCTCCCTCTCGCCACTCTCTGCCTGCAAAAATCACACTCATTGAAGAGTGAGTACTTAAGTGTCATGAAATTCCTCCGCTGACTTTCAATGCCCATATGAATCTGAACATATTCCATAGAAAGCTGTACAACCATATCTTGCCTTGTACAAATTTGTATCAAATTGCATAGATGTTTTGGCAGATTTCGAATAATTCATATTGACCCACCTGTGAAAAACTTGGCGCCTCGATGAGATTCGAACCGACGACAGTGAGGTGAAGGTTTTAGTACAGCCAACGCTCTAACCACCTGATCTACGAAGTCCCGCGGGACGACGCAAGCTTAATCACATTTGAAGCGCCGAGTTTTTCACAGTTGGGTCAATATGAATTATTCGAAATATGCCAAAATATCTGTGAATTCCGTGAGTCTGGTAGTCATCTGGTGGATTCTAGATGAATTACTTAGGAAATACTGCTTGGGCTGTCAACTTACTGTACCAGACTTGGTGGATCCGGGCGTTGAAGTAGGTTGGGCGAGTAACTTGACCCAAATGTGATTAAACTCGCGTTGTTCGGTGGGGCCTCTCAGCGCAGGTGGTTAGAGCGTTGGCTGTACTAAAGCCTTTACCTTACTGTCGTGTGTTCGAATCCCACCGGGGCGCCGAGTTTTTCACAGTTGGGTCAATATGTATCAGATTTCTTTATGTTCCAACTCTCCACTTTATCACAACCCGACCCGTCGTCCTACTTGTTTCTAGGGTTCCCAAACCACAAGCTGTACGCTTTCTATTTAAAGGGAATCATTCATCCACCTCTGTGCTATTAAGGTGTCGTACAAAGCTCAGTAAATTGTGTACTGGATATGAACCATGTTGTGGGTTTCAAAAAGAGCGTTAGCAAACTGACAGATACGGTGGTCTTCAAACGGACATCTCACGGTTTTAAAAGTGCTATAACTGCGAACGTACAGTTTTTTCGAGCAGGGAAGTCAAGTGGGTGTAAGAAAGTATTTTTCTGCGCATGTCCTCAATACGATACGTTCGGATTTAGGAAGGTGTCTAAACTCAATGGAAGAATCTCCATGCTATATAAGTAGTAACCTTGTGGCGCATGTGATCTTTACAGACAGCCAGAAAGGCGCGCATTCAAAAGCCAACATCCCGGCGTGAATCACGCCGCGGGATTTGACATTTCGGCCGTCCTCTCCTACGATGCCCACCGTGCGAGCCACAGCAGGGTGGGCGCGGGGACGTTGACTTGCATGTGACTTGGTTTATGGCGGTAGCAGACTTGCGTTGCATCTATCGCACTCCCTCCTCCCCAGCCACCTTGGCCTGGTGTCAGAACAGAATCAAGGAAACTGGAGGCATGACGCGGCGTGAACCCGCGCGTAGGCGTACCGCCACTTCTCCTGGCCAGTGCACCTAGGACGAGGATCCACATAAGGGCGGGATAGCCTTCCAAGCCACGGCTTTTAGCGCTCTCTGACAATTTAAAGCGGGACAGATTGTTTATAGTGATGAAGTGCGCTGCGAATTGCTGTCATTCCACTGTCTCCCTCCTTGCACCAGTCGATAGTCCAGGCTGGGGTATCCACTGAGGCTAAGAGATGGTGTGTTGCCGGATACTTAATATTACAACCCACGTACAGTTAGTGACCTAACTCATGAAATGTATCGAAATTTACGAATTATTGCCGATCACTCGCAAACCGACTCCATTTCATGAGTCCAATGTCTATGTTGATGAAGTACAAGTTTAAAACAATTAAAAACATGAAAGAAATATTAAAGGCAGTGCTGCGTTGTTTAGAAATGCTGGTTTATTTTGAAAAGCGCAATATCCCGAAAACGTCAGAAATGGCTCTAATTTAGTAAACTTTGTTTTTATATGTATTGAATGTATTCTCATACCAGAAACAGTAAATATGAAAGTAGACATAAAATAACGTCTAGTAATAGTGTTTTAGTGAAGTTTACATCTAAATATCGTTTAATAGGTACTGTGATTTCATATATGACGGTTTGTCAACTGCCTACATTCTCAGTATAGAAGGAATCCCTATCTGCGTTATTACTGCACTTTAGGGCGCCAAATTGCACAGATCTGCTAATTTGACATTTTGGAATTGATAAAACGTCTGGTTTTCTTAAAATAACCTTTGTGTTAGCAGGTTGATCACCATAGTTAACATCGGACATAAAATAAATTTCCAAGTTCGGCTAAATCTGTTTATTAAAACTCTCGCGGGTAAATTACTTTCCTTTCAATGAAAAAGTCGCTCAGATGCGTAACCGAAGTGTAGGGCATGTATTAGCATAGGAAATTGCACGAATATATTCCAACCTCCATTTTCGCCAAAATTTACTGATATTTTACTTGATATAATTGCGTAAACACAATTCCTGTACACGAAAAGGACATTTTATTGAAGAATGTGGATGAGCGAACAAAATTTTCAACGTCAAAAGCGTCCAGAAATTCTGTCATCAGTTTCTGTTATCGTATTTCATGAGGTAGGTCACGAACTGTAGGTAGTCCTTTCCTTCACTTTTGAGAATTTTGGTTAATGTTCCATGAGATACGCTGCCTAAGTTCCTCTTTTCTGTCCTCTCCACAGTGCAAGACACGGTTGTCCAACTGCAACGCTTTGTCACAGCCCTGGCCACCTATCACGAAAACTGCTACGAAGTCATGAAGTCCGCCGTCATCTTCCCTCTCGAGATGGACCTCTCACGCGACACCTTTGCCTACCGTTCAGACGTAATCAACACCGGTGACGACGAGGATGAGGAGGAGGAAGAAGAAGAAGACGGCGCTAATAGGGCAGACAACGACGACTATGATGAGGCCATTCTCAACTCCGAGTCTCAATCAGCCAGAGCCGTGGATGCTCTGACCGGTGATGTTGAGCAGTTGTTGGATCTCAGCGACCCAGTACCGCCTCCCAGTGCCCCCACCACCTCCCCCTCCTCGCACTTTGATGCTGATATGATCAGCATTCAGTCGGTAGAAGCCCCTGCGTCACCGCTGAAGCCCAACGCCCTTCTTAGCGGTGATCTCATCTCCATTGACTGAGGTCACCTTGCCTAGCCTCCTTCTATGTCCTTACACCTTACTGCGACCCCCTTTACCATCACTGAGCCCTCTGTGATCCTCACAGTACCGATCCCTTCTGAATTGCAATGAGATGGCCTGACTTTTTGTCTTCTTTTTTTCTGTATGTGTGGGTACCTACCGATGCGCTGGGTTTTTTTTTTCTGTGGTGGACTTGTCTACCTTCTGATCCTGTTACTGTCTGTGATGTGCAGTTATCTCTGTCTTTCTTGCTGTAAAAGCATTCCACTGTTTTTTTTTAGCAAACGTGCTTTGTACTTACACCTTACTGTTCATTACTGCGGCTCTTTTGCATGCCGAGGGAAAGTTACCACAATACTTGTTACTATTCGATTGGACTTTCTTTTGTTACCCCTAAGAAAGCTGGGATCTAAAGGCATGATTGGGGTACTGTTTACTTCAGGCATCAGGAAACATTCCGGTTGTTGTCTATTCGAAGGTCGACCAGTCGTCGAAGTCGACGTTCCCTCCTTTCCTGTGTCGTGCGGAGTGTTTCCACCGGTTAGGTAACGAGACTTGCTTTTCCGTTTGTGTCTTGCGGCTCAATCTACTGCCCAAGCAAATGACCAGTGATCATACAAAAAGGAGAATCGACCTGCTTGTTGATCGGAAGATCCGGGTTCGATTGCGGAGTGATACACATCTTTGGCTGGCTAGTGACCGTTAGCAAGCCGGAAGTCAACGCCCCTCTCCTGTTTTGTTGGCGTCCCTTCTTGTGGTGATGATCCTTCAGAGTTCCTATTCTGGCGGCGGCATTCTGGGACCAACGACCGACCGACCGACATTTTGGCGCTACTACCGGTGTTTCCAGATTCCAACCGATTCTGGCCTCTGAAAGGGCAGTTCATGCAGGGATGCGCCGTGCATTTTTGTATGACGCACAGAACGCGACCCAGCTATCTAGCTGTCATCAGCAAACGCCAACCGACGGTCCTCTTGACTGCGTCTTGACATCGCAACAAGTTGGGCGAGGTAAGCATGTTCCGTTGATTGGGGCAAGTTTGCCTAAAATTAGGTGACAGTTCGAACGTCGATTCCGTTGATGTCCAGCCCAGCACGCACAGAAAGGTAGACGCGGGGACGGTGGCTTGTGTGGGAATCTGTTTATGATGAGAGCAGACTTACGCTGCATCTGCCGCGCTCCCTGCTGCTCCTCGCCCTCCTGGACCCGGTGTCAAGAAGATCCGAGGCGGGATTGGGCGCTGGTGGTTGGCTCGACGCGAACCCGCACCTAGGCGTGTGTCGCGGCGGCTTAAGCCGTGGACAGGACGTAGCCACTACAACCTTCAGGCCCGGTTCCGAACAGGAAGCGGTGTTGGATGCCAGTTGGGAGGATGCAGTATTCTGTACGGAAAGATTAGGGAACGGGCTAAAATAAGTTGGCAGCCGGGCGACAACACGTCCGGCGTCATGAGTGCGGCGGCCCGAGTGAGAGTGACGAATGCGTCATGGCGCCTTGAGCGAGAGCATGCCTACGTCGGCCTTGAAGGTGATTGGCCGAGAGCCAGACCGCCTCTAGTGTGCACGTGCAAGTACCCACGAGTGGTTCAGCGCTGCAACAGGCGTCACATGCAGCCACCTCCCTTCCGCATCCCATCCCCAGTCGCGTGGCGAGCTCGGACAGCCGACTGGTGGACGGCGGAGGGAAGTGAGAGGGTAAGGCCGAGCCTGGGGCATTCGTCCACACAGAGTATCAGCGCATTCTCTACTATAATAAACCCGAATCCAGCATGACGCGCGCAGCAAAGTGGTTGGAGAACTGCGAAATAGGCTCCAGTGGCTCCTTCTTAGTACGGCCTTCGTGGAATTCTCACGCATAAGTGATCGGTGTTGGCTTTACAACAGTCTGGCGCATGCACGGGGACTAGGTCCTGGTTGTGGCACGCGTAGACGGGCTACTTACCTTTGTCAGCTACTCCGCCCGCTCACACATCTGGTTGTCTTGACATTGCCTTGTCATCGGATCCAGATGGGTCGGGAGGGGGGGTGCGATAGATGCTACGCAAGTCTAGCCTACTCTACTGGTTCACGCCCAAGTCACCCCTGCTGCGCCCATTCCGTGGGGCTCGCAGTGGAGATCATCGCTTGCAGCGGTCGAACTACTAGAAAGCATTGTGACACTCACAGGTCTCCGGCCCAGTTCATGTGGTCCTGTGCGGAAATTTAAATGAAAATGCATGCTTCCTTTACTTCAAGGCTGCTTTGCACTCAGGAAGGTCAGTTTCGTGAGAATCCGTTTTTTGGGCCCGCGACTGATCCACTGACCGCACGAGTACCTTACTGACTGATCAGTAATTTTTTGAACGATGCCCACTTCTATGTGAGTCGCACATTGCGAACATCCACTTCTGCCGACAGCGCTGTCTACAGTTACAGTTAGTGACCCAACTCATTAAATGTGTCGCAATTTACGAATGTTTGCCAATCGCTAACAAACCGATACCATTTCATGTTAAGGGCAATGTTGCGTTGTTTAGAAATGCCGATTTATTTTGAAAAGTGCAATAGCCCGAAAACGTCAGAAATGGCTCTAATTTAGTACACTTCGTTTTTAGGTGTATGGAATGTATTTTCATACCAAAAACGTAGTAAATATGAAAGTAGAAATAAAATAACGTCTAATAATAGTGTGTCAGCGAAGTTTACATCTAAATACTTTTTCGTAATTAATGTGATTTCATATATGACAGTTTGTCAACTGCCTACATTCTGAGTGTAGAGTCCAAAACAGTTTTCCAGGGTTTCGTGTTATCCTTGACTCGTTTCAGTTAAATGAAATGGGGTTCAACAAGAGAAACTGGATTTTGCTTGATTTCACCGATGGGGACGTCGTAGGAACAAAAGTTTTCATAAGGTGACATACCATGAGGCCAGTCAGTGCCTAATAAATTTAAATAGAACTGACAGGCGTGATTGTAAACATGCCATTTTGTGTTTATGGAGAGAACTCTTCTTCTGTTAAATCAGTTTACACTTTTCGTTCGTTTTGGATTACGTTGAGTTTCCGATCGGCCGCGAAATATTGCTGAATACTTCATGATTTTAAGTGTTTTCATCCGATCGTCCATAAAGACAGATTCTGAATTAACTGTCTGTTGAGAACTTTAAAATAAGATTATTCTTGAAGGCATTTACTGAATTAGTGAGTGTTCGGGCGCTCCTCTTCACGAAGATAGTCGTTTGGGTCACATGCGAAGACTCATTCAAACATCAAACTACGTTTGCTTCCCTTAATAAGACTTCCGTCAACCTCCACAAAATTTCCCGTATCATTGGTAGAAGGCGGTCACTGATCGCGTTGTAGGCGAAACTTATTCCGTTGTGCTCTGACTCTCGATCTATACCCTCGTAGGTAGTCGAACTGGAAGAATAGCAAAAAGACAAGCAAGACTTGGGTGGCTATTTTTGACTTATTAAGAGTCGTCACCTGCCTTTGCCGAAGCCCAGGTTTGGCGGCACTTGGGGCTCAAATCCGCGATCTTTTGGTCATCAGTCCATCGATCGAACCGATGATCCTATCCTGCATCCTCTAAATGTGTCTGACTTCAGTAAAACAGCAGTGTTTGCCTTCCTGCTTTCTAATCAAGATTCAGTTGTCGAATTGAGCATGGCACGTGCGCTGACGCATCCATCCAACACACATAACGTGCGGAATCTTCAAAGCGGGCGGCTGACTCTTCCGCTCTGCGCGCTCGCAACTCCAAAAGACATCCGACCTCTCAAGGCCGCGCTTTCTGGGACTGTCGCGCGCTCTTCTAACAACAACAGAGAGCTCTTCCAAAGCCTCGTTCCACACGCGTTTTGAGTGAACCACATGACGACGTCTCCCTCGCACCGCCGTCCTCGTACAACCTAGTCCGGAAGCCTCGCGTCACGGTCGCTAGTCCTCGTGCATTGACGCCAAACCGTTCAAGACTGTCTGCGCACAGCAAACTTTCAAACTAGGGCATAAATTCGTGATTTTTGATTGGCCGACTTTAACTGACCTCTACATATCGCTTCTTGTTTCAGTTCCTCAGATCTGGGATATTATTGGTCGGCATGTCAGATCACTAGAACAATGCGCTACCTGAAAAGATCCCACTGTGCTGGATCTCGTGAGCAGCGATTTATAGAGGAGGTGTCAAGGAGTCGTCTTGCGAAGTTGTTTTAAAACGCTTGCTCATACTTCACGAAGGTCACCATTTGATGCACTTTACCAATGCAAGCCTGACTTGTAGTCGTGTGGGGTAGATCTTCTATCTGAGACAATTGCATTTTCGATGGAAAAGTGTTTATTTTATTGTTCAACAACATTCTACACTTCCACGCCGCATGTTCTACCAACAGTGTGACTTAATCGAATCCTTACCCTTAACACTAATCCGTCCACAGTGTGACAATTGCGTGTGTACGCTACCAGCTTATGGTGACTTCAGACAGGAAAGTTTTCACTCACGCAGTTTAATTCTATTGTGTGGATTCTAACAACTGGGTTCGAATCTCAAGCGATTCACACTTGAGGCAAAGCGTGACTGGCTGATGACGGCCAGTAAGCCGGAAATAGCCATCCCGGTCTCTTTTGTCTTTGTCGGCACCATCTTATTTACTGTGTGTGTTTACCAGCAGCTAAGGGCGACTTCAGACATAAAAGAAAGTCCAGAATGGGCGATTTTCACTCATGCAGTTTAATTCTGTTGCGTGGATTTGAACAATCATTTTATGAGCGTTGGTTTAAATCGCATCATACATGACAGCATGAATGTAGAGAAATGTGTGGTTTTCCGTAGGCGGAAAATACATGACTTGTAGTTTGGAAACCCTGAATGCAAATGCGACGGCAGAGCCGGTTCAAAAGTATTCGGGAATTGGGAAGTTTTTTTGAAAACCGAATAATACCCTTCCTTCGAGTATAAAATTAGAAAAAGACGTAATTTTCTACCGAATAAGCAAAATATTGAATATATTTTTTGCATGTTTTC